ATTCCCCAGCCAGCATTCGCTGGCTGGGGAATTCTGGGAGTTGAAGTCCAGACATCTTCAAGTTGCCAAGGTTGAGAAACACTGGCATAGAGAATATGCATCAGTAAATAAAATTATGTTTTGCTTTTAAAACAAAGTCATATCTGACTGCTAATGTGCTGACAATATTTTTATAGATTAGAAGTAATCATCACAATTTTCTAAACCATGATTTCTCAACCATGGCAACTTTAAGATGGGTAGACGTCAGCTTTCAGAATTGCTGGCTGCAGAATTCTGGGACTTGAAGTCCACCTATTGTAAGCTGTCAAAGTTGAGAAACACTGATCTAGATTTTGGGTTGGGCTTTCACCTATAAACTGCAACATAATCAAAGTTCTCTGGACTTCTTCCTTGTTAAAGCGGATCCTTTTACTTACTGAAAAGTGAAATGGCATTGATGTTAATCTTAATTGCACTATCTCAACAGTTAATTTTTAAAAAATACAAATCTGTGCCTTTGGCTGCTATTAAACTTAGCATTTTGCAAACATTGGGCTGTATCATTTGCTGTTTTTGGAATTACAATCATTATCCTTCAGATCAGACATTAATTAATATGCTAAAATATATTTACATGCATTTGAAGTAATAGAACTTTTGGAAACGTTATTAAAGGGAAATACTCTAAGATTAAATGTTTTTGCTGTCTTAAAATGACTGCTCTTTTAAAAAGTTTGCTTCAAAATGTAACTAATTGATTGATATTTCCTTTTTTGCCAGGTTGTTTACCATCAATGAATTCTACCTCTTGAGAACTGCACTATACTGGGTATTCCTGCAGCAAAATCCCAAAATTCAGATAATCCCATCTTATGATACTATCCTCACATATTTTAGCAGGTATACTTTTGTTCCATGGATCATAATTAATTTGCAAGATTTATAGGCCGCGCAATCCCGAAGGACTCCGGGCGGCTTACAAAGAAAAAAGAAAAAAGAAGTAATAAAAAATAAAGGAAAGA